GGTCCTGATCCCACAGGGAATGGTCCTGATCCCACAGGGAATGGTCCTGATCCCACAGGGAATGGTCCTGATCCCGCAGGGAATGATCGGGATCCCGCAGGGAATGATCGGGATCCCACAGGGAATGATCCCAGTTCCCACAGGGAATGGTCCTGATCCCACAGGGAATGGTCCCAGATCCCACAGGGAATGGTCCTGATCCCACAGGGAATGGTCCTGATCCCACAGGGAATGGTCCTGATCCCACAGGGAATGGTCCTGATCCCACAGGGAATGGTCCCAGTTCCCACAGGGATCGATCCTGGATCCCATGGGAATGGTCCCGGATCCTGCAGGGAATGGTCCTGATCCCACAGGGAATGATCGGGATCCCGTGGGAATGGTCCTGATCCCACAGGGAATGATCGGGATCCCACAGGGAACGGTCCTGATCCCACAGGGAATGATTGGGATCCCGCAGGGAATGGTCCTGATCCCACAGGGAATGGTCCTGATCCCACAGGGAACGGTCCTGATCCCGCAGGGAATGATCGGGATCCCGCAGGGAATGGTCCTGATCCCACAGGAAATGATCGGGATCCTACAGGGAATGGTCCTGATCCCACAGGGAATGATCCTGATCCCACAGGGAATGATCGGGATCCCGCAGGGAATGATCGGGATCCCGCAGGGAATGATCCCAGTTCCCACAGGGATCGATCCTGGATCCCACAGGGAATGGTCCTGATCCCACAGGGAACGATCCCAGTTCCCACAGGGATCGATCCTGGATCCCACAGGGAATGGTCCCAGATCCCGCAGGGAACGATCCCGGATCCTGCAGGGAACGATCCCGGATCCTGCAGGGAATGGTCCCAGATCCCACAGGGAACGATCCCGGATCCTGCAGGGAATGGCCCTCGAGATCCTGCAGGGAATGGTCCCGGATTCCCACAGGGAATGGTCCCGGATCCTGCAGGGAATGGTCCCAGTTCCCACAGGGAACGATCCCGGATCCTGCAGGGAATGGCCCTCGAGATCCTGCAGGGAATGGTCCTGATCCCACAGGGAATGGTCCCAGATTCCAACAGGGAATGGTCCCGGATCCTGCAGGGAATGGCCCTCGAGATCCTGCAGGGAATGATCCCAGATTCCCACAGGGAATGGTCCCGGATCCTGCAGGGAACGATCCCGGATCCTGCAGGGAATGGCCCTCGAGATCCTGCAGGGAATGATCCCAGATTCCCACAGGGAATGGTCCCGGATCCTGCAGGGAATGGTCCCAGATCCCACAGGGATAATTCCATCCAAAACCACAGAACAGCCATGACCTCCATGAGCTGCGCCTATTGCCTTTGAGTTTAGAATTCCCAAAATTCCTGCAATTCCCGGAATTCTCAGGCACCCCACGACTCAGTGGAGGGCTGTGGCACCACGTGGGTTTGGCTCAAGACTAAAGGGTTTGGGTCAGAGTTCAAGGGTTTTGGGTCAAGTTTAAAAGATTTGTGTCAAGGGTTATTAAAGGGTTTTGGTCGGGGTTAAAGGTTTTAGGTCAGGGTTAAAGGGCTTAGGTCAGGTTTGAGTCAGGTTAACAGGTTTGGGTCAGAGTTAAAGGGTTTTGGGTCAAGTTTAAAGGGTTTTGGGTCACGGTTAAAGGGTTTGGGTCAGGGTTAAAGGGTTTGGGTCAGGGTTAAAGGGTTTGGGTCAGAGTTAAAGGGTTTTGGTCAGGGTTAAAGGGTTTGGGTCAGGGTTAAAGGGTTTGAGTCAGGGTTAAAGGGTTTGGGCAAAAGTTAAAGTGTTTTGGGTCAAGTTTGAGTCAGTTTACAGGGTTTGAGTTAAAGTTAAAGGGTTTGGGTAGAGATTAAAACCCCTCCAAATCCCAATTTTGGCCTCAAAGGGGCGAATCCCTTGCACTGGGGCGGTGAATCCCAGCAGATCCCGGTGAATCCCAATGGATCCCAGCGGATCCCGAGGCGGGGCCTCACCCTCGGCGCCGATGGAGACGAGCTTGACGCCCTTGCTGGCGATGAAGTCCAGGGCCTTGTTGACGTTGTTGATCTTGTGCACCCTCATCTTGCCCCGCTCGGGCTTCGGGAGCCGCTCCCCTGCAACGGCACCGGGGTCAGAGTGAGGGGTTTGGGTCGGGATTAAAGGATTTGAGTCAGGATTAAAGGGTTTGGGTCAGGGTTAAAGGGTTTGGGTCAGGGTTAAAGGGTTTGGGTCAGGATTAAAGGGTTTGGGTCAGGGTTAAAGGGTTTGGGTCAGGGTTANCACAGGGAATGATCGGGATCCCGCAGGGAATGGTCCTGATCCCACAGGGAATGATCGGGATCCCACAGGGAACGGTCCTGATCCCACAGGGAATGGTCCCAGTTCCCACAGGGATCGATCCCGGATCCCATGGGAATGGTCCTGATCCCACAGGGAATGATCGGGATCCCGCGGGGAATGGTCCTGATCCCACAGGGAATGGTCCTGATCCCACAGGGAACGGTCCTGATCCTGCAGGGAATGGTCCTGATCCCACAGGGAATGGTCCTGATCCTGCAGGGAATGGTCCTGATCCCACAGGAAATGGTCCTGATCCCACAGGAAATGGTCCCAGATCCCACAGGGAAAGGTCCTGATCCCACAGGGAATGCTCCCAGATCCCGCAGGGAACGATCCCAGTTCCCACAGGGATCGATCCTGGATCCCACAGGGAATGGTCCTGATCCCACAGGGAACGATCCCAGTTCCCACAGGGATCGATCCTGGATCCCACAGGGAATGGTCCCAGATCCCGCAGGGAACGATCCCGGATCCTGCAGGGAACGATCCCGGATCCTGCAGGGAATGGTCCCAGATCCCACAGGGAACGATCCCGGATCCTGCAGGGAATGGCCCTCGAGATCCTGCAGGGAATGGTCCCGGATTCCCACAGGGAATGGTCCCGGATCCTGCAGGGAATGGTCCCAGTTCCCACAGGGAACGATCCCGGATCCTGCAGGGAATGGCCCTCGAGATCCTGCAGGGAATGGTCCTGATCCCACAGGGAATGGTCCCAGATTCCAACAGGGAATGGTCCCGGATCCTGCAGGGAATGGCCCTCGAGATCCTGCAGGGAATGATCCCAGATTCCCACAGGGAATGGTCCCGGATCCTGCAGGGAACGATCCCGGATCCTGCAGGGAATGGCCCTCGAGATCCTGCAGGGAATGATCCCAGATTCCCACAGGGAATGGTCCCGGATCCTGCAGGGAATGGTCCCAGATCCCACAGGGATAATTCCATCCAAAACCACAGAACAGCCATGACCTCCATGAGCTGCGCCTATTGCCTTTGAGTTTAGAATTCCCAAAATTCCTGCAATTCCCGGAATTCTCAGGCACCCCACGACTCAGTGGAGGGCTGTGGCACCATGTGGGTTTGGCTCAAGACTAAAGGGTTTGGGCCAAAGTTCAAGGGTTTTGGGTCGAGTTTAAAAGATTTGTGTCAAGGGTTATTAAAGGGTTTTGGTCGGGGTTAAAGGTTTTAGGTCAGGGTTAAAGGGCTTAGGTCAGGGATAAAGAGTTTGAGTCAGGTTAACAGGTTTGGGTCAGAGTTAAAGGGTTTTGGGTCAAGTTTAAAGGGTTTGAGTCAGGGTTAAAGGGTTTGGGTCAAGTTTAAAGGGTTTTGGGTCAAGTTTAAAGGGTTTTGGTCACGGTTAAAGGGTTTGGGTCAAGTTTAAAGGGTTTTGGGTCAAGTTTAAAGGGTTTGAGTCAGGGTTAAAGGGTTTGAGTCAGGGTTAAAGGGTTTG